GCACGGGCAGCTCTGCAGCAGCGGCACGGAGCTGAGCGCCGCCGTCTCGCCGCCCGTGGCGACGCTCAGGCAGCCGCGGCACAGGCACTCGGCCCAGGCCAGCTGGCGCGGGTAGCGGCTCTCTCGGTGTCCACGCTGCGGGGAGGGGCGGGTGACGGGCGGGCGCCCAGGGGCTGCCGCGCCCTGGTGGGGGGGAGCCCTGTGTGCTGTCCAGGGCCCCGCTGCCCTCCCAGAGCACAAGCACAGGGGTGTTGGCCAGCGGCCTCCCCAAATGCCCCAGCCCTGCCCTCAGAGGCTCTAGCGCGGCTGCAGAACTTCCCCTCGCTGGGGACCACGGGGTAACCCCAGAGCCAGGACACCTGGTGTCAAATGAGCCCGCCCAGGTGCCCCCCACCCCAGGCATCTGGGCCCCGGGTCCAAACAAAGGCTGACAGCTGGGGGCCCGGTGGGGTGACCACCCCCCAGGGAAGGGCGCGGGCGCCTGCCTCACCGGTATCTCCAGGGAGAGATGGACCGCCGGTTGGTCTCTGCCTCCAGGACCTGCTCCTGCCGCAGCGCCGGGCACCGGGCCCCAGCCTGCGGCAACACCCGCTGCCGCCGCCGCCTCCAGGCTGGACACCAGGGCTACCGGCAGCGCCTGCTCCCACCTGGCGGCCCGCGCCAGCAGGTGTCTCCTCGGCAGAGTAGCACCGAGGGGTGGTGCTGTGGGTGGCCATGGTGGGCCAGGCTGAAGGGCCAGCCGAGCAGGACCAGGAGGCCAGGGAAGAGCTGGTGGGCCAGGCGGGGAGTCAGGGGGCATGGGGGGGTTCCCACCGCCACCCAGCTTAGGAACCGCTCCCCTCCGCAGCTGAACCCCAGCCCTGGCTGCCTTCCCATACACAGCAGGGCTCCCACTGCCCCGCCCCGCAGTGGTCAGGGAACACCCCAGGACTGGCCTGGGAAGGGGGAGGCCAGGCTCACCATGGCGGCCTGGGACGGCTCCCGGGGTGGTTCCTGGAGGGCCGGGGTGTACCTGCTGGCTCCAGCGCTCTTTATACCCGGGCCACACCTGGGGGAAACCCGCGCTTCCTCCGAGGAAGTGCCCGGCCAGGCTCCCTCCTCCCTGAGCTGCCCTCCTGCCCTTCCCCCTTTGCCTTCAACCCCACCACGATGGGGCACCTTGCGGACTCGGGGCCCAGCCCTCCAGCCCCTCCCTCCCTGCCACCCTCAGAGCTTCATCATGTGTTTTTGCCCTTTGGACCTGGGGACCCAGATGCCTGGGGGGCCCCTGGGCGGGGGGCTCACTCCACAGCAGGGTCACTGCTGGACCAGCACTTCCTGCCCGGAGGTGGGCAAAGGGCTGGTTCCTCTTGTGCGGAAGATGCTGCTGCCCTGCCGTGCCCTGGGCGTGGGGGTGGGGGCGGGGCGGCGCCCAAGCCCCTGCTGGGCAAGGCTGGCCAGGCTCTGCGCAGCCACACCTCCAACTGTCCACCCAGCCCCGGGGAGGTGCTGAAGGGGGGTGCAGCAGCAGTGGGCGACTGACTACAGGGCCTGGGGGGCCCACGGCCGGGGCCAGGCTGAGGGGACGCTGAGGGGATGTGCCCGCGGGGGCACCGGGGGCACCGGGAGGGGCTGGCTCCGGCCCCAAGCGCCCTGGCCTGCCCCGAGGGCGGTGGCAGCAGGGTCCTCAGTCCCTGCAGCGGGGCCAGAGCCCGCCCGGCCCGCAGAACCAGGCCAGACAGGTGCTTATCAAAATATTTTATTTTAGGAGACCCCTCAAAAAAGACCCTCCACATGAGACGCCCAACGACACCCTTGGCCTTTTTTTTTTGGTCTTTTCTGTGTTTTTTTTCCCTGTTTAAATCAACTAAAACAATTTGATGCTTAAAATAAAAGATAAGAAATATTTCCCAATCAGACTTTAGTCAAGAATATATATCTATTTTTGATCCTGGGACGGCGAGGACGGGAGGCGCCGGCGCGGAAGCTGGGGCTGGCGGGCTCCTGAGGGCGGCGCCGCCTTCACTACCTGTGGCTTCTTTTCCAGCTCAGAAACTTTTTTTTTTTAATTTTTAAAAAGAATCACAGCCGC